GTTATATTGACCAATTCTGCATCATCGTCTCTATGCCTTTTATGATATGATCGAGAGATTCAGCTTCTAAAAGGAATAGAACCTACAGAGACAGGTTAACAGCCTAAAGATCCTCGAGATCTAATTGTAACACAGATTCATCTTCATATAGCTTGATCCCCCTAATTCCAATCTGTGCTAATTTCAAAACTTTACAAGAACTGAACTCTAATGTCATCACATGCTTCAGTAAAAAAATGCGCAATCACAAAACTATTCACAAAACTTTTCGCACTCATAAATGATTCTTTCATTTTATTCTATTTATATTTCATGTTATTATTACCATAAAAACGCATACAATATCTGAATACACATGTACACATTAAAGGAAAGAACTGAAGAAAATAGAGAACAGAATTGAATTTTGATGGAAAATAAAAGAAATTTTTTTTTACTATTGACTTTTGAGGAAATCTAATATTCGATGTTTTTGATGTGAAACTGTTTTTTTATTTCGATTTGCAGTCAAAGACTTTTTCCAACAATTACCTAATATGAATTGGATGATTGCCTTGAAAATGTAATTCTTGTCTCCAAAACTCACCTCTTATGTCACGAGAAAAAGGTTTCGTGCAAAAATGATGATACAAAGAAAAAGGGATCAAAATCATGACTTGAATGAAAATCAAAACTTATTAGTCTTCTGATGAGAGTCTAAGTTGTTAGAGACTTTTGGTCTGAAAGTTTGTTTGAAGACAATTTGATGTGAATCTATGTGAGGAAAACGCATTTGTTTGTGATTCAAATTCTGGATCTTTAAAGATTTAAAATGATTAAATTGGCAATGGTTAAATTCATTAATTAAATCAATGCTTATAAACTTCGAGATCTGCAGTTTTCTATAAGATTTAATCAATAAATTTAACAAAATCACAAAGTGCTCCTAATTTAGCAACATAATAAGCGATAAGAAGTTCGATTACAAAACATAAAGCTCAATCAAAAATCAAATAGATTAATTCCTGTTTTAAACTTTTACTTCTCAAGTATCACTTTTCTCATCAAACAAATTGAAAACTTGAACTTTAACGGAATAAAACCATAATATCAAAACTGTCAAAGCAACATGCCTTCGAAAAGGATTTCTTTTTTGTTTTGGGACAAGTGTACACATTGGAAAAAGGACAAAAGATTGAATCATAACTTTACTATAGGAGAAGAATGGAAAAGGCAGAATTTTTGCATGTAGAGCTCTCTTGTAAAAGTATCAAGCCAATGTAACAGTTAGGAATGGCTTTATGCTAAGCAATAAAAATTGAAAAAGAATCTGAATTTCTTAAAAGATTGAATTGAAATGTTTGGATCAATGAATTATGAATAGAACTTTTCTACCTCTTTGGATGTTACTTTTTTAATGTTATTGAGTGTTCTTGCTTATTAAGGAATCAAGATAAAGTTTGGTTGAAGGATTTTTATATTCTTTTGATTCATTCAGCTTTAATCTTTCTGACTGAATCAAAATTTGATTTTTAAAATTTAGATTTATTTCAATTTGTCCTCAGCCATCTATAAGGACATTGTCTTACTATTTTTAAAGTCTACGGTAAACAGAAGTAGTTAATAACTGATGACAGTAACATTGAGAATTAGCTGATCAGTTCTTTGAAGATTTTCCCGCCAAAATCTGAGAATTGATAAAAAATAACAATAATACCCAACTCTGCTCAAAAACAAATTTCCTTCTAACACTTGCTTCCGATTACAGACAGGGCAAAGCTCTTGCTAAAATAAGAAGCAATCAAAACACAGAATATAAAACTTTTCTTTTTCTCAAAGAGGTGAAAGAATGACAAAGAAGAATCAAGATGAAAATTAAATTTCGCACTGTATTAATTGCTTAAAATATAAAAGTGTATAAAAGAAATAAACCAGTCGACAAATAACGCAAAGATAAAGTTTTACCATACTAACAGTTACTCAAATAAACTTTCTTGTAAGAAATTCAAAGAAAACTTTTTCCTTCACACAAACAATGATTTGAGCAAGATTCAAGATAAAATCAATGAGGGTGGAACGATAGAGATGTATCTAGAAATTGAATATGCTCTTGCTGACTGTTTCAGAGAGCAATGGATGAGGAAAGAGTTTGAAAAATTTCTATTACTTAATGAAACTTTTAATTGCGGAACATTTAATCTTATAATTTTTAATCTTTCCAAGAATTAAACTTGTCTCGAAATAAATTTATAGCTGAATTTAAATGGGTTACTTGCAGCTATTCAAAAATATTAAAGACTTTTATTCATGCTTCTTGTTCTGTCAATGGTGATTTTCATTAATGAATAATTTTTATCGCACAATAAAGGACGTCCCTTCTGTTAATGACAAATAACATCAACAATTAAAAAGCGGGGTCGAAAATCAGGTTGGGGATTGAATTTTATAGAATTCTTCCAACTTCTTGAAAATTTCGTCGATTTGCTAAAGTTTTCGCATGTAATGGGTTGTCATAAAACTTCTGACCCTATCTACTTTAAAAGTTTTGACTAATGAATTATAATTCTGATTAAAATTCTAGAATCGAAATAATAATAATAATAGTGCTTTTATTTAGTGAATTATGTTTAGCTACATTTGGAAATATATTTAACACCAACCTTCAAGGTTTTAATTTAAATACCATTTGATTATTAATTTTATTTTGAATGTATGAATTAATTGAATTTGGATGAAAAATGTGAAAAAAAAAACATCCCATGTGGCAAAAAAAAAAGAAAAAAATAATTTATTGCTAGAAAAATTATACATTAATAGAAAAAAAAACAAACGAGATCCTAGTTCATAAGGAAATAGGTCAGAATCGAAAAAAAAGAATCGAAATTGCATTGAAAAAATTCTAGAATTTTAATTAGAATTGAAATAAAATTTGATTTTGATTTTGAAATCGAAAAAAAAAATTTTGGCAGTTCGAGTCAGTTGGACATACCCAAAAAAATTTTTTCTCCATTTCTCAACGTTTCATGACTTTTCCAGAAGGGACATAGCTCCGTGGAACTAAGCAGTGCCACCAGTTCCTTCATGTCCATATTGGACCATATGCTCATATTTAACCTGATAATTCAGTAATTGCCTTCATTTTTTTGTTCAGTTCCTGCCGAAACATCAAGTTATTGGTAAAATTTCAAGGAAGAATTTAAATTACAATTCCAGAATTGATTCGTTCAATTTAAATTCTGATTCTAGAATCGAAATAGAATTGAAATTGAAATCAAATTTTATCTCAATTCTAATTAAAATTCTAGAATTTTTTCATTGCAATTTCGATTCTAGAATTTTAATCAGAATTTTAATTCACTAGTTTTGACATCACTTTTGAACAACCCCAAAGCTTAAGAAAACTTTTTGTTTTATTTAAAATAAATACTGAGAATTGTCGCTTTTTCAGTTAAAAAATGCCGACCGCTGTCCTTGAAACAGCCTTGACGTAGACAACTGACTACATTAAAATCGATTTTCCATTTCTCTTTCTTTCTTCATATCCTTAAAAAATTGTACACAAAGCAATAAAAGTGAATAAAAAAATCAAACTATAATTTCTCATTTAAATAGTTTTTCAATAAATATTGAATTTTTTTTGTAGGTATCAACATAAAATGTTGGTGGGCATCGACGATTTTTTTTGTATTACTGATCAACGGAAAAATTAAATTTGAAATTCACTAAAACTATCTTACAACCCATCAAAAATTAAATTTCCAAATATCTTAATTATTCAATCATTATTCCCAAATATTATGATATGATTACGAAAAGTAGATGATACATTAGCTATTCTGCCTATTATAAGAGCTTTAACATCATTATTGAGTGATATTTTCATGATTTTTTAAATTTCATTTCAATTTTTGGTTGTAAACAAACAACTTACGACAGAAAAAATTCAAAAACTTTAAAACCGTTTAAATTTTTTAAACTTAATTTTGTTCATTTAAGCCAAACAAAAGAGAATAAAATTTCTGATTTTAAAAAAATACATTTGAAGATATATCAATAAAAACTGACAAAGTTATGGCAAAATTCCCAAAAATTATTCGTGAGTGACGCTTAATTAAAGTGATTTTCTGAAACACCTGCTTAATTTTATTAAGTAAGTTGTATATCAAAAGATGGGGATTGTTTTTTCCTACAGGAAGATATTTAAGATTTAAAGCGTCACTCACGAACAATTTTTTTTCGTCGGGGCTCTGGTTCTTTTGGTTTTATATTGGTCGTATTTTTATGCTTTTGATCGATTTTTGATGAATTATTTGGATTCTTTTTGAAGACATCTTATTATGATCTACAGTTTACGGTTTTCTTATTATGTAAACTAAAGACCAGAGCTCGAAGTCGACTCGAGATTTTCATTGATTTTGGTTGACGGAGTCAACTCCATACAAAATTTCAGCTACTTTGAGCTCTGCTGAAGACCATGGCAAGTTTGAAAAGTGTAAGCAAAGTCTATTTAATATTGTGTAATTGAACTTATAAATTAAAGTAGCTTAGTGGCATAGCTATCTAATGCATGATTATCAAAAACATTCTAGTAATGACCAAAAATGTTATAGGTTCGAAACCCTATTGTTTATAATTTACGTGGATTTAAAATAATCTACTGACTTTTTGTCAAAATTTACAAAATAATTTGAAAAAGTCATACCCAATTTTCTTTTAATCCTCAACAATCGTCTCACAGACATTCATCCTTTTGAATTTCACTCTTCTCAATTCTTTATTCATTCTCACGCAAATAAAAACACAACGAAACCGCAATGAGAAATGCAAACAAATTGCACTTCACTATAGAATATGATGACGATAAGGTTTAATCAGTTTGCGGTGTAGACATGCACTCGCGCGAGGAGATAAAACTACCGTGAGAAAGAAAATAATCGTTTAAAAATTGCATTTGCTCTCAATTTCTCGCTAGACTATAAATACTCACCGACACAATGAATGAAATTGCTAATTAAACAACAGCGTTTGAAAAGCTCACTCGGGTTATTATTTTTTCCACAAGTTGTGTGTTTTAAAATTGTGAAAAAAATTGTTTTCGATAAAAAATGACGATGGAAAATGTAAAATTGTCAGTTGATAGCTTTGGAAGCGTTAAGGATCTTGTTACGAATGAGGATAAGGAAGTTAAACGTTTTACGTGGACAAATGAAAAAAATCATGTTTCAGTTCAGGTAATTTGAATATAAATTGATAAATTGAAGTTGTTTGATGCTTGAAAAGCTATAAAAGTGACAATTGACAGATTCTTAATCTCAAATCCATACTTTTCGATTCTTTTCTGGATCTTCTAACTTCAGAAAAGAATCCAGCTATTAAAACCATTATTTTTTCACAATCAATCAATTTCTTCAGATAATCTCATATGGTGCCATGATAACAAGCTGTAAATTACCATCAAAAACAGGAGAAATTGTTGATATCGCTCTTGGATTCGACAGCATTGAAGGTAAGTGTGTAATTTTTCATGAGAAATATGTGAGCCTTCATACTTGAATTCATGCCATAAAGTCGTGATATTGATTAATGTTCAAATTCGATTTATTCTTATACTTCTATTTCTACCTTCTCGCTTCATAAACTGTGACTATAAATTAATGAAATTTTTCACCTCACAATGGATCAGGAGATTTTTTATGATATAATGGATTAGAAAGGAACGGTTTTTTGTTTTGTAATTTATCAAAAATAAGACATTAAGGATTTACTTAACGATTTGAAAATTTTCTAGAAGAATTTGTGGCATGACATGATGAACTTTTCAACATTACATCCACGTTTTTCTCATTTAATTCTTGTTTTTAAATTGCAAAATGAATTTTGTATTCCTCAAAATGAGAAATAATAAAGTGAGGAGGTCTTGTTCCTTATATATCCTAGGGGCCGTTCACTTATTACGTTACGCAAAAAAACGACTTCTTTCACCCCCCTCCCCCCTTGTTACAATATGTTACAACTCATCCCCCCCCCCTCTTGAACGTTCATAATTTATTTTATTTTGATAATTTTTCATAAATCACAGTTAGAACGTTACATACTTCTTGACACCCCCCCCCCCCCCCTTATGTTACATTTTGTTACAATTTTTCAACCCCCCCCCCCCCCCCTCCCCCCTAAAATGCGAACGTAATAAGTGAACGGCCCCCTAAGGCGTATTCAGTAAAGGTTGGAAACAAGGAATGGAAACTCAGAAAGAATCTGTAAACAACAAAACTGCAGAACTTTATTTTGACAGTCAAAATGCAGATTTTTTTCTGATTTCCAATATCAATCCTTAGTTTCTGCGCCTTGAAAGAAATCCTTAACGGAGCTTCTCTCGATAATACCAAAACTTGAACCAACCTCACCCCAATCATTTCATCACTAATTGCTTTTAATTAAACCTCCGGCTCTTAATCACATAAGCGTTCACAATCTTCATATCAAAAATATAAAAACGTCAGCATCTCAAACATGCACAGGAATAAAGTCACTGACGTTCTTTAAAACAATTTAATCTTCTTTCTCTTCTATTTTAATCTAAAATTGTCATCATTATTTCACCTGTGCTCTATTGTTAGTAAATCAAAAAGATAAACAATGTAATAAGCTGAACAGATGTTATTAAATGAGACAGTCATATTAATAGTTTCTGTCACGAATGAAAATGAGATTTTAAATCATAAACAATACAGAGATCAGTAGAAGCTACAATGAGGGTAGTTAAATTGTGTCATTCAAGGACGTTAAGCTTCTTTTTATCGCTTGCAGTGATGCTCTGGTGTGCATTTAGAGTTGTCAAATGAAATTTGCTTTAAATTGGTTTTAAACTGCTGCGATTCAACTATAAATTTTCAAATTTTATCCCAGATCATCAGTGCTGCTGTATAACTGCGATTTATGGTCATTTTAAAATAGAATCTATAGCTTTAATTCAGGGTTCAGGGGCGTGGCCCATAGCCCCCCCCCCCTACGAAAATCTGATAATTGTTTTATTAAGTATTTATAGAGAAGAACTAGTAAATGTAGAGGAAGTGATGAAAGAAATGTCAAAATCAGCACGAAAAATTAAATTTAATGAATGAATAATGAATTAAATATTTAAACTTATGAAGAATGAATATAGATTTAAGGATACAAAATAACGGTTTTTTAATTTTCGAAAATGCCCCCCCCCCCCTTAAAAATTTTCTGGCTACGCCCCTGCTTTAATTCTACAGAACATAACTCAATTAAAACACAGTTCAAATTCATGTGAATCACTTGTTTAATGTCAGAAACAAGGCTAAATGTTACAAAACAATCCAATCCATTCCAATAATATTGATTCCTAGATAAATTGAGATACAAAAGATAAATTGATATATTCATTTGTCAGAAATTCTTCTTTGTAAGCCTTGATTCATGAATATGTAATAAGTAATGTCAAGTAACTGAGCACAACAATTTATATAATGATTTTCTGAATAATTTTTAAGGATACTTAAAGGACAATAACTCTGCATACATTGGAAGTCTCATGGGTCGTGTGGCAAACCGAATTGGAAACGGTGAATTTGAACTAAATGGAGTAAAATATAATTTGGCAAAGAATTTCCTCGGAAAGCATAACTTGCATGGTGGCTTGAATGGCTTTGACAAATTCAATTGGGACTCATATGTTGATGGAAATGTTGTATATTTAACCCATGTCTCGCCGGATATGTATGAGGGATTTCCCGGAACTTTACTTGTAACAGCTGCTTGTTCACTATCGGACGACAACTCATTCACAATGAAATTAACTGCCGTATCTAGCAAGCCGACTCCAATCAATTTATCTAATCATTCGTATTTCAATCTCGCTGGTCATGATGCTGGATTTATAGAGCTTTATAAACATAAGTTGACCATTAATGCTGATAAAGTGCTAAAAATAGACACTGAGCAAATTCCAACGGGAGACTTTTTAGATGTTGGCGGTTCAGAATTTGATTTTCGTGTACCACAAGAATTGGGTGATGCAATTAAAAAGACATCCAATAATGGATATGATAACAACTTTTGCATCACATCCGGATCATCACAATCATTGGCATTTGTTGCGAGAGTCTTGCATGAGAAATCAGGCCGATTTATGGAAGTCTATAGTGATCAGCCAAGTGTATTGTTCTATACATCAAATAATCTCCCAAATCCATGCAATAATGTGAGCATATTAAATATTAAATGGGATAAAATAATGGGAGTTGTTCATTTATGATGTCCAGATTGCGTATATAGAACCAATCGGGGTGTGAGTTTGTAATGCTGAGAACAGTTTTGAGAACGGAAGTTAAGACAACAAGCCCTTCCCTCTAGTAACCTCTAGCTGCTAAAAGCTCAATAATCCTCTTAATTGCTAGACATCATAAGTCAATGACTCCCAAAAACTGCTACAATATAAAAAATCATTTCATCACATAAAATTCAAACGAAATTTATGAGCAATATTTTATGTACATGCTGTATATGTTTTTTTTTTGTTGCTATTCTCCCGAAGATAAATCCATCATTATCAGAAGATACTTGCGAGGAGGGTTCATCTGTTGTTGGCAAGAATGGAGCACAATATAAAAAGCATGGAGGATTTTGTTTAGAAACTCAAAAATATGCTGATGCTGTACATCATGTAAATATTTTACAATTTTTTTTTTCATAGAAACTCGGACGAGGAACAAAAAATTTATTTTCATGATTTTTTCTTTTCTTTTAACCGCAAAACACGAATAGGAAAATTTTCCATCAATCATTCTAGTTCCTGGTAAAGTATATGAGCATGAGACCGTTTATAAATTTGGCATTTATGAGGGAAATTGAAAACAATTGAATAGAACGAGCGCTTTATTATGTTCAGTACGTGTATCCAATTTTATGACGGTGTAAATCAATAAAAATTAAATCAGTTATCTCTGCTGTCGTAATTATGAACATTTATATTTTTAGATTCATTTATAAATTTTGTGTTACAGGCACGAAAGTTTCTATGACATTAAAATTTCATAAACTTTACATTTCGATTTCTAAATTTGATTTAGGATTAGTAATTTTGTAATTTTTTCATTGGCTATTGATTAAATTTACAAAAAGAACCATAATTTGTGTGCAACTGTGCCATTCGCTTTAAAACTGTGAACAACATTTCCATTAAAGCCTCGTGGAACAAATGAAATGAATTATTATTTAATGTGAATACTGAAAATGCTATGCATCTTAGTTTAGGAGTATATTTTATCAAAATTACTTCTCTAGTGTGTTGTAAAAAATTGTAGAACACATTAAGTGAGCAAGAATTTTATTTAAAGGCATAAGATGATACACAATGAAATTTTAGGCTCTATATCAGTGGTTATCATCCTATTTGCCATGACACACTAGCGACAACAGACTTTTTTTGGGGAAAAATGTAAAAATTTGTCGCTTTTTAAAATCTAAAGGATTTTTAAGTTACTGAACAAAGCTAGGTTATTTAAAAATGTTGGTAAGAGGAATCAAGAACCTCATTGGCTATGCCTTGTGTCAGAAGCAAACCTGAAAAGCATACGGAGTAAATATGGCTGTCAATTTGACATTAATGACGGTATGAACGTGGCACTATGCGAGATTTGGTGAAATCTAGCCAGAGATTCACAGCTATTTTTAAGCCGTGTGCCTTTCGGGAATGATTGAAAACTTTTCACTGATTTTTTTTTTTGGGAGAGTAGGGTTGATGGAATGAAGCATTGAATTAAACCCTCCTTCCTCTTGCAGGAACATTAGGACATGTATGAATGCAAAAATTAATAAGGCTGTGATTTTAATCTCTGTATTATTTTGAAAAAAATTATTAATCATTTAAAAAATTCCTTGGTGATCGTTCACTTATGAAGTCCGAAATTAACGGTCATTTTTCAAATCCCCCCCCCCCCTGGACGTCATAAGTGAACGGCCCCTTAAAAGTCAGGTGGACAAAATTTTGAAACTATCCTTCCATACCTAATCATTTCATAGCAATATTTAATTGAAAATGACTAAAATTTGATTTGGGTGTTGACCTTCTTGCCAATAAATTATGCAAATCATCTAACCTTATGTTTTGATGAAATGATTAATGAACGATTTGGTCAGATAATTAATAGACTTATTTTTTTCGTTCTGAACATCTGACTGACTGCCTTAACGCTATTCGGCTTTATGTTGTCAAAATTGACGGAAATTGGTGTTGTTGTTGGTGAAGATGTGAGTCGGAAGTGACTTTATAGAATTCATAATTTTTCATGGTTCAGTGAAACTACTAAGAGTCTAGAAAAATCTAAAAAACGGAATAAACTCTTGGGGCTCATTCACTTATGACGTTCGTTAAAGAAATCTTCAACCTCCCCCTCTCCCTTGCTTCAAATTTTGTTTGGAAACAATTTGCTTTGTTTGAGCTGTTAGAAAATCCTAGATCCCCCCTCCCCTCTTCCTCGCGAAAAGACAAACGTAATAAATTAACAACCCTCTGACAAATTTTTGATTTTTCTAAGGGGATAACAACATGATGAGTTTGCGAGTTTTTATGAAAACTTTCCTCATCATGTTGTTATCCCCTTGCTTTTCGCGGGATTAATTCAATAAAAAATTTGCAAAACTTACCACAATCGAATAAAAATTAAGACAAATAGATAATTTTGTCATAGCATCTGAAATGTACAGGTATTCTCAAATTCACTCAAGCCAATACAAAATTGAGATAAAAATGCGATGATATGAAAAATCGAAGCTTATGGCACAATAAATTTCAAATTCGTTATGACTAGGGGTTCTAAAATCGGGAATATTCCCTGGAATTCCCGGGAACGGGAATATTCCCGAAATTCCCCTTTTCATACCAAAAAAAAAACCGACAATTTAAATTAGTTTTTTTTTATTTTGTATTTTCCATGAAAAAAACTACAATTTAAAGAAAAAAAATTATAATATTGAAAACATACGTTAAGGAATTTAAGAGTTGAAATATTAAACTCAAATTTGAGTGTCCATCAAGTAGAACGGTGACCTAACGAATTGAGTGATGGACTTTATATGGGTTTTTTGTGCTATTTTGTGAAAGCAGAAAAATAACCTTTTTTAAATTTTGTGAAGTTGCCAGTTCTGAGATATGAGCATCTGAAAACGGTGCTAGGGCCGATTTTTTACTTTTAACACTTTCGACTGTAAATCTGACAAGGCTTAACGAAAATTGTTCAAACTTGGTCAGTAATTTGTGCAAATGTTTCTTAATCAAATAAAATAAACGAAATATTTTTATCTAGCCTAACCGTTCTACTTGATGGACACCAAATTTGATGTTTTTCAAATCAAAAACATATATTTATGAAAAACGAAGAGAAAAAGTATTTAAATATATTTTTTAAATGTATGATGTCCATAAAATAATAAACTTAATTGACATTAATTGTCATTTATTTTGGTAATTTTTCCAAAATAAAAAAAAACGTGCTGGAAATTAATATTTCTGGAATCCACCAACATCTACAAGAGCTGAACGTAACTTTTCAATCTCCAATAATATTGTCTCAAAAATCGCACTAGATTGCTAGACCAGTTAAAATCGTACTTTAAGAATTGTTCTAAAACCAAAAAGAATTGAATTTCAAACGGAAATTATTGTCAAAAGAATCAATTTGACAATCAAATCAAATAGAATTTAAATTTGATTTAAAAACCTTAATAAAAAGCTTTTAAAATTTTGAATTAATACTATATATTTTTGATAATTTTCGAGCTGAATATACCCTTAATTAACACAAAAATGTGAAATCACAATCAGTCAAAAAAGATCAAATTTCTCAGCAACCTTTGACTTTCAATTTTCTCACAATTTTCTTCAGTTTAATTCTTTAAAGACGTGTTTTTAAATTTTGTTGCAAATCGGTGCAAATAAATTGGAACTTGACATTATTAATGCTTAAAAAGAAGTGGAGTTCAAGATAAAAGTGATAGTGAAGTGCTAAAATGGAAGCAACAGTGAAAATAAGCCAAAAGTGATGAAAAAATTAAAAGTGAAGAAAAAAATGAAAAATTTTCTGAGTGAACATTGAAACTTAAGAAAATTAAATTCAAGAAGCTGTAAAATTGAAGTGAAAGTGAGATTGATGAAGCTTGAAGGAACCAGGACACAATTAAAGAAGCAAGAGGCTAGTGACAACGAAGAAAAAGCTAAGTATACTAATAAATAGCAGAGATCGAAGCCGATTTTTTCGGCTTAACTCAATTTTTGATTTTTTTGATAGAAAAAAGCCATTTAACACCCATTTTAAGTATTTAAATTGAACTTTACATGCTTTACTATGATTCTGTGAAATATTTTTTCAGCATGTAGCTATAGTGAGCTCAGAATTTCAAGTTAAAGAATGTTAAGCCGAAATTTAAGCCGATCGGCTTAAAATCGGCTAAATTGAAATTCAGAGCTTACTATAGCTACATGCAGAAAAATATTTCACAGAATCATAGTAAAGCATGTAAAGTTCAATTTAAATACTTAAAATGGGTGTTAAATGGCTTTTTTCTATCAAAAAAATCAAAAATTGAGTTAAGCCGAAAAAATCGGCTTCGATCTCTGATAAATAGTCCTAAAATTTCTTTTCTTTAATGAAACCAGTCATTTGACTTTCTACAATTGCGTACGTAATGCTTGCAATACGTGAAATGATTACTTAAAAACGCATTGCATTGAGTTTTACATTTCGTCAGCCTTTGTTGATGTAAATTAAGAGTGGGAGTCGTTGAATAGGTCAGAGGGGGGTCGATGCAAGATGAGGAAGGGTAAAACTTGAGGGAGCAAAGTCTTTTGACCCTTTTTTTAAAAAGTTTTTCTGAAATCGAGCCTATGAGTCATGTGTTTCTGCCTGTGAGACTTACTATCGTGGCTATTGATTGGTTCATCCTTGATGTAGAGTGGCATCAAGGACATTGATTGCTTGCTCGTAAATGAGACTTGCAATTTTTTGTCTAGATGCCTGTTCTCACACACAGCATTAGACTTACATCAGGTCCAATGACGTATCGTGTAGTTTAATGTGAAAAATGAGCCTCTGATGATTTGGGTTGTAATCAATAGAAGCTTAATTACAAGCGTCTAACCCTAACCCTAAATTGTGGTTCTTTTTCATGCTCAGGTGTGTGGTAAAGAACGTTTTTGCCTCTATCTCGGACTGTTCTGATTCAAAGCCTGAAATGTGAGCAGTAATGGAATGAAAACACGATTGATTCATTTCCTTGGTTGAAACTTGATATGATTAACTATGAAAAAAGAACCATCAAAAAATTTGCTTTCTCAGTTTAATCCCTCCTTCATCTTGCATCAGCTTCTCTCTTACCTGTCCATCGACTTCCATCTTTAACTTACATCGAGAAAGAGCAAACGGAACATAGTACTTAATGTTATGTGATTTTACTTAATCATTTTACGTAACGTAGGCTTTACGTGAGCCTTTTTGAAAGTTTTTCTGACTAATTTCCAACAGAGAAAGTGAATTTGATATCATGAGACTTTAATTTAAACAGCAAATCTTAATTAAGAATTAAATTTATTTTTATTTTACTAATTCGTTTTTAAAATTGCCATATATTTTAGGTTCTTTAAGGATCAGCACTTATAGCCATCATGAAACATTTCATATGTTGTGTTATTTTCTTCACATTTGAACAATTACTCATCGTTCACACACAAGTAAGCACATAGTATGAATATTTGATACAAATTGGATTTATATAGACTTTTTTAACTGACAAACTACAGAAGAATTGTCTTGACGATTTCTTATTGTCTTGACGATGTCTTATTGTCTTGACGATGGTCAATCATAGGGGTTCTAAAATCGGGAATATTCCCGAAATTCCCGTTTTCATACCAAAAAAAAACCGACAATTCAAATTAGTTTTTTTTTTATTTTGTATT